ACCTCCTCCTCTTCTTTTTGTCAGAATCATCATTTGACATTTATTTTGTTGTTGTTCTTGATATTACGGGAATTCATAGGAGATGTTTAGTCACATGTATCTGCATGTTTTTGAAACAATATTGCAAATCACAGTGTGGCAATAACAATTATGAAAACACAAACATTTATGTGGCATTAAAATAGTGTGTATTGTAAAGGGAATTAGACTGACTAGAAAAGTATCTCATGGTGAAATGCATATATCTCACAAGTGTCACCTTAAAATGAACTTACAGGTATAGTTCACCCAAAACAGATCTGTTATAAAAATCTGAAAGACATATTTTTATGCATATAATAGAAACAGACCAAACAGACAAAAAGCACACTGAAATTCCCATTTAATATTTGTGCATGCAAGAACTTAATTTAATTTAATTTAATTTAATTTAATTTAATTTAATTTAATTTAATTTAATTTAATTTAATTTAATTTAATTTAATTTAATTTAATTTAATTTAATTTAATTAAATTTAATTTAATTTAATTTAATTTAATTTATTCAGCAATGATGTATCAAATAAATAATAAAAAAACTTTTACGTTATAAAAGAAAATGAAATCAGTTTCCACAAAAATATTAAGCAGCACAACAGGATAATAATAAATAAATGTTACTTGATCTTGTTGATGTGTCACTGAAGACTGGAGTAATGGCTGCTAAAAATTCAGCTTTTCCACTAATTTATTCCACGAATTAATTACATTTTAAAATAAATTATAATATAAAATAGATATTTTAAATTGTAATAATATTTCACAATATTACCGGTTTTACTGTACTTTTGCAGCAATAATGCAGCCTTGGTGAGCATAAAAGGCTTTTCAAATGAATTGTGTTATTTAATTATTTATTTATTTTTGCTTTCATTCAAGTATGCAGACGTGTTCTATAGAATTTCTGTCTGCAATTCACATTTTTGTTGCATCCCACTTATAGTAAATACTGTATGCCTACTGTATGCCTCTTTTTTCCCTTTTATTGGCCTTGTTTTGTTAATCTCCTCTTGTGACGATCCTTATACATTTTCCATTGTTCTGTCGTTATCTGCATTTTATTTGTGTGTGCATGGACGAAAAGCCACTCCACATGGGTGGGGAGGTTAAAGCAGGTAAAGAAGCATATCAAAAGGCTGCAGTGTCCTTCACTCTTATTTTATTGGACTGTTCTGAGTCCTCCATGTGTCAGCGCTGGCCTCAGATCAGCCCTGCAGACCCAGACGGGCAGAGACAGGTCATTTGAGATCAAACTTACCGTTCAGACTCTGCTGACGTGAACAGGAATCCTTAGGCACAGTGGGTGAAATGAGTCTGAGGGAAAAGAAAGACAGAGAGGAAGGTGGGTGACATGGAACACTTTAAAAGATGTGGGGTGTAAATCCAGGTAATTGTGCAGACAGTGGGAAGTGCTTAGAGACATTTTCAAGTGTCTGGTTTTTGGCTGGTTTCTGGCTGGTTACATAAGTTACATAAAAGCTGATTCATTCATTTTGGTCAGTTGCTTAACAGAAACGGTCACATTCTATTGCACAGATGGACTGCAATTGCTGATGATAACAAGTCACATATTTAAGGAATATCACACAAGCCAGAGTGCCTGTTGTATTAAATATCAGCTGGAACATTTATTTTCTAAAGTAAATAAAAGATATGTTTATGTTTCGTATCCCATTGACATTTTTTTTAAAAGCATTAAACTCCATTTATGCTTTACACAATTTCCCAAACGGTTAAGAATTTTTTTTTTATAAACATTTGTATACACACACACACAAACACACACATACATATATATATATATATATATATATATATATACATACATCACGACATTCTAATTTATTGAGATGCACCTGTATATATATATATACACACACACTGGCTACCAAAATGTTTGGAATAATTTTTTTTTCTTTCTTTTTTTTTTTCTGTAAGAAGTCTCTTATGCTCAGAAAGGCTGAATTTATTTGATAAAACACAGTGAAAACTGTAATATTGTGGAATATTACAATTTAAAATAACTTTTCTATTTGAATATATTTTAAAACGTAATTTATTGTGACCTGTGATGGAAAGCTGAATTTTCAGCTGACATTACTCCAGTCTTCAGTGCCACATGATCCTTCAGAAATCATTCTAATATGCTGATTTTGTTGCTCAATTATTATCGGTGCTCAGTTATTATTAATGGTTATTATTATGCTGCCTATTTTTGTACAATTGTTTCAGGATTCTTTGTTTAATTTAAAAAAAAAAAAAATTATTAACATTCTAAATGTCTTTACTGTTACTTTTGGTCAATTTAATGCATCCTTGCCAAACAAAAGTATTCTTTTCTTTTCATGTTTTCCATAAAAATATTAACTTACATTACCTTACTTACATAAATCCTAATTTACATTACCCACACCTCAGGAATTTTTTTATAATAAAATGTACAGTTTGCTTTGAAACCAGTTAATGTTTTAACTGGCTGGAAAGATGTTGCCGGGGGCGAAGCAGTTTGCCAGTGCGTCCACCAATTTATGTATGTATATATATATATGTATATGTATATACAGTGGTGTGAAAAAGTGTTGGCCCCCTTCCTGATTTCTTATTTTTTTTATATATATATATATGAAAATGTTCTCGTATCTTGTTGTACTTGGGTCAGATATCAGAATTATGTCCTTCATATTGGTGTTGACATGCTTTGTGACATTTGACCTTTTTCTGTTATTCTTTCAGAAATTGCTGTTTCGACTCTGCTGTGATCTCTCCTCAACTTCCCAGCAAAATGAGAGTCTATATGTAGAGGTTCACCTGCGCTCACTTCCTCTCTTCTAATCTAATCTATACTTCTGTCGGATTTTGTGTTTTACTGTGTATGCATGTATGGAAATGTGTGTGTGTGTGTGTGTGTGTGAATGTTCGTTAAAAGAGTCTATTTTTAATCAGTGCTTTGTACTGTAATGTGCAATTAATTGCTCCTTACCTCTTCAAAGTGGACTTGAATCAAAGAACAAAATCCAAATAGACTGGATGTTGCTGTAGGGCGTTTATGCCAATGTTAAAATCTCGTAAAAATTGACTGTGGTTTTGCTTGCCTGTAATTAAATTTGGATTTTAAAAAAAAAAAGTTTAATTAAGATAGTTTCAAACGGATTATTTCTTATAATTTGTATGACAGAGTTAGCATATCAAGGTTATGAGAAAAATATAACCACAATAAATTAAATGGTACATTTGTGTGAAGATCATCTGATTAATTTCCAAGTCGATGTTGGTTTTTCTGTGTTTTGTCCCATGTCTCAAGAATCAGTCTTATGCTAGTTCTCATATCAGCTCATATTGATCTTTTGCTGCTTACACTGTGCTCAAAATACATGTGTATATTTATTTTTCTAGGGCGCAAATATATAAACTGTGTCAAAAGTGTAACAGTGACATTCTTTTTAGGAACATTCTTTATAAGGCAATTATTTGTTATAAAGAAACATAACTGGTACATTTCTCTTTAAATATTGTAACCTGCTGTCTGTGTTTACCAAAAACTGGTATTATAAACTGACATTTGAATGCAGCACTTAACCTACCATTATAGAATACCTGTTGAGAGAGAAAACGGTGTTATTGTTATTATTTGCATAACCTTTTTTTTTTTTTATGAAATATTATTTCAAAGGTTCAGTAGTTTTGTATTGCACTGCTCTTAATATTCATTATTTAAGTTGATTTTTAATTGTTTATTTGCTGGCTTTTATTAAACGGTACAATGTAAAAACTCTCAATTTCTTTCGCAGTCTTGTTCGCACACACACTCAAAGCTCATAAAACCTCAGCAGATTGTGATGGAAAGAGCACTGACATACAAATAATAGAAATAATAGGTTTGTACTGGCTCAGTCATTCACCTGCTAATCAATATGAGACAGGAACTTCATGGCACACTGTTCATTCAGAGACATCAACAAGCTCACTACGTTTTCCCCTCAGAGTGATTATTTTAACTATCGGATGATCTGAGAAAGTCGACGCAGAATTTGAATGGGGTATAGTTAACGCTTTTTCTGTCATAGCAGTTTCGGCTGATACATCACTAATTGCTGCTACAGAATGTTAAAGCTTAACTATGTGTTTATGGATTGCTTTGGAAGCTAGTTAAAGGAATGTGTTGTTAAATGTAAAGTAGATAAGTAGGACTGCTTTCATTTAAGCATTCAGTTCCTTTTTTATATAATACATATATTAATGAATTGTGATGGAACCAGGTAATATACTGATTTGGTGCTCAAGATACTTTTCCTTTAATTATCAATGTTGAAAATATTTGTGGTGCCTAATTTTATGGAAACCAGATCTTTTTACAGTATTCTTTGATGAATAGAAAGTTCAAAAGAACAGCATTTATTTAAAATTGAATACTTTTTGTAACATTATAAATGCCTTTGCTTGTGACTTGATCAATTTAATGTGTCCCTGCCGAATAAAGATATTAATTTAAATAAATAAATAAATCTTACTGACCGCAAACGTTTGAACAGTTCTGTCAGGACCACTATCGTCAAAGATGATTGACAATTAGCATACAGTTTGGATTGGCGGTATGGTTCCGTTCTGGGCAAGAACTCCCTGCGCATCCATGCAGCCTAGCATGGCTGAGAGCAGGGAGAGCAGCGATAACCCCCCTAGGGTAAACAGAACAGAACCAACATAAATGTATTGCAGATATCGTTAAAGTTCAATAATGTTATGTACACATTTTAGAATTAGTCTGATTCAAAGGAGAATCAGAAGGCTGAATCCTGACTGACAGAGGAGGAGTTGGGGATGGAGGAGGGTAATTAGCTATCGAGCAATGCAAAACTGCTGATACTACTGTGGGACCTTATATATGAATACTTAGATAGGTGTCGTATTCCCATAGGTTGATGGGGATCAGCTGAGAGTCAGCTGATGCGAGCTTGACTAACGTGACCTGCCAGAACTGACGCTACGCTAGATTTGTGTATGTGCATCCAATTTTTAAAAAAAATTAGAAAACATTTTGTGATATTAAATGTCTGTTCAATGTTTTGTAGCATATTCCCATATTTATCTTCTCTATAAGAAAACTAAATCTAATTTTGTCCCTCAAAAATCCCCTTCGACAAGCTAGAAGAAATATAGATGCTAACATGCTTACTAGTCTTCCTAAATCCATCTCTGTTTGGTTGCTAAAATGTTGGCTAACTGGCAGCAACAGTACATCATTAGCTTCTCTTGGCTGTCCCATTTGCAACTCGTGTTAGCAGGGGATAAATCTCTTGAGTTATTGCTCCTCTAGGCCTCATGAATCAGTGAGCTCTCTATAGTGAGAATTAAAGTCTTTCTAATGGGCCGAGCTACTGCAACATAATGCCGTTTGCAATCACAATAGCTACCAAGGCTTGATCAAATTTTGCAAAGCAAGTCATTGGAGGAAACTCAAATATTAGAACCTAATCTGCCACGGGCAATTTGCTAACTTGTTTAAAAAAAAAATCTTAAAATAGCATTAGATGGTTCTAGCCAATCTAGCTGGTCTCGCAGACTAATATAACAGAGCAGGATCCCACTGAATACATAAACATGATTACGCATTCTCATTTATCTTTCCAAAGTGTGCATTTAATAGCTACAGCTGCGTAAAAGGACATTTAGTAAACATGTCAATGGGGAACATTTGTCACAGCCCTGCATTTCCATCAAAGCTTCCATCATGACAGCAGTCACTTACACAAACATAAATGCAGACAGCGTCGTCAATAACGCAACGTTGTTTCCACTGCTTCGGCAATGGACAAATTTGCTCTTGACAGATACAGGATGGAATCAGAAAGAGAACGGAGGTGTGTTTATTATCGATGATTTATAAAATGCCTCTAGCTGGCATTGATTGCACAAATGAACTGTCCGCGTGCTGTCGGAGAGAGTGTTTACGCATCGGGTGGTGCAGTTTGGCATCAAGCCTTTGACAGGTTGCCTCTTATCACTGACATATGGATAAATGTCTTCCACCATTTCATAACTTCTCCCTGTCCAGCCTGCTCACTCACCGCTGCTTTTTAAAGAGCAGCAAAATGTCAGTAATCCCAATCCATAAGCACAAATATATATAGGTGGCGTGCAGATTGTTTTGGAGTGCATATGTGGTCATTTATGTTGTAGATGTGACATTGATTGTTTTTTGCATGTCTAATAATGTTCAGGCTTAAATTAGAGGCAAATAGCTAGTCATATTTTGAAGTTTGGGGCAGTCGTAATTGCTTCAGGATGTAGACTTGATGTTTTTGTACATAAAAAGATGCCTGCTTTCATTGAGTCACCATTAAAAGGCGCTGAAAATACAGCGCCACATCAAACGTCCACATATTTTGGCCATTGATATGTAGATGTGGAGGACAAATGCAGTCTGCCAGTTATCTGAAATCGTACACGGCCATCCGAAAGGGACACACCTGAGAACTTTGCACGTTTGAGAAACTTTTCATAGACAGTTGAAGAAACTGCAAACATATTATTTGATAACTCTGAAAATAGGTCTCTCAGGGAAGAGGTGTTTTCATAATCACATCTTGAGGATGTCCGCAGAAAGCAAGGATTATGCAGTTGGACAACTAGAAATTAATAATTAATAGTTAGGAGTGTATTATTATGTTAACATGGGATGACATCTTTGGCATCACACTAAAATATCTGTCAAAATTAAATGCAATCTGTCATTTCAGTCTTTTTATTTATTTATTTGTTTATTTATGATTTTTATGAAATAGGGTAACCTACCTCTGGTGAGTAGTATGAATATAATTCTAATTGTAGGCTATTTGTGACGTAAATACCAGTTCACAAGGTTTAGAATGTTTCTGCCTTAAATAAAATAAATAAATAGATAAATAAATAGTTGTTGTATTTACTGTGAATACATTAATATTTTGTAAAATATTTTTTTTTAATATTATTATTTACACATAATTATATAATTTAAAACTGTTGTGAATATGTTTCTTGAATTGGTTGCCATATGAACAACCAGACTGTAAACAGACTGATGAAAGTCTCCTGAACCTAATAAGTTTGGTTCTTTTCGAATCGGACATAGCCGAAAAATGACTGCCAGTTCAGGGAGGACATGTTTGTTGACTGACTCACTCTAGTCTCGTTAGTCTGACGGCTGAAGGTTTGGAATCCATGGCAGCTTTCATTGGGCAAAGCCCGCCCATGAGGCCGTTTGACCGACATGTCAAACAACCAATCACATTTAGTTTCGTTTCAGCGTCACGTTTCGGGGCGTGGAAATGTCGCCACAATAACAGACTGGTGTGTAAAACTCTTGGATGTATTTTAAAGATTATGTGCCGCTAACTTTAAATATTTCACATACTTTTGAAAATCCAGCATTTAGTTGATCCTGAGAAGCGCTCGTCGTCACAGTTGTAAACATGACGGCTTTCTTCTTTCATGAGAGGGTTTGCCGTTACGGCATCTTGGTTTCCAGGCGGAACGTTATAGAACGCAACACACACGTCTCCCGGAAATCCTGTATGATTCAACCAATCCGATGACGACTTCGAAACTCCTGAAGTGTTTCCACTTTTGTGTGCCATATGCATCAGACGTTTAGCCAATGTTCCGTGGGCGTGACGTTTGAGGCTGGGACTAGACTCACTCTAAATCAAACCGTTAAAGGGATAGTTCACCCAAAAATGAAAATTCTGTCATTAATACGACTTTATTCAAAAATTTGTCTCCTCCGCATCACCCTGGTGCCATTTTGGAATATTCGCTGGACGTAAACGTTCGTATGCTGTTCTGTGTCAGCTGCGTCACGCCGGATCTGTTTCCTACGTTGTTGTGATTTGATCTGAACGGAAACCGTGTATCCGTGTGATGCAGACAGAGTTTTGCTGTTATTCCAACAAGCAGAGAACTAAAGTGCACAGCTTGAAAAAAATACGTTTCTGATGTTAACTAATCTTACATGGTTTCTAGACGGTGGAATTTGAACGTTTGCAAATTCTTGTCACCAAGATGATGATAA